AAATAAAATAAAATAAAATAAAATAAAATAAAATAAAATAAAATAAAATAAAATAAAATAAAATAAAATAAAATAAAATAAAATAAAATAAAATACCTCTGAAATGCCGTAGCCTCCTCCTTCCCAACTGGAGAAAGCAAATGCTGTTTCCAAAGGTGTCCTCAGCACCTCAACCTCAGGTAGCTTTCCGTGCTCTCCGACGCACCGCGAGTCCCCACGCAGGTACCCGCGCAGGGCACCACGCTCCCTCCAGGAATAAAGAAACTTGGAAACGTCCTCTTTTTTTTTTTTTTTTTTTTTTTTCTTTTCTTTTCTTTTACAATAGTCTCGCTTTATTAGATACCACATAAAGAGAGAGGATGTTGTGCTGCATGCAGCGGAAGACTGGAGTATTTCTAGTTCGTGTAACATTTTTTTTTTCTCTTACTATTTGTAAACTGATATTTTGCTGTAAAATCACTGCATGCGAGTTTGAGTGCAAACAGCAGTAGAGGAGGCTTTTTTTTTTTTCACCATTCCCAATCCATATGTGCATGCTTTATTTACAAAGGAAGTTGTTCAGGGCAGAAATTACCATCAGAAAAACTCAGAAGAACGTGGCAAATGGAGACGAGGACTGTGATTTACACAATAGAGGGAGAGCTAAGTGGTACTTTTTAATTTTYATGGGTGCAAATAGATGACCCTAGAACAATTTTGCTGCAAGGGAAGCAGACTGAGCAGAATATGTTGTGCGGGACAGGGGAAGAAGCTACCCAGGTAAAGGCAACCTTAAATTAATCATTCTGCACACATAAAGGAGGCTTAGCGTGGGGGAACAATGGGAAAAAATGCTTAAGAAAAAAAAAAAGGTAATTTCGTTGCCAGTCAAACATCTCCCCGTCACAGCTTGGAAGTGTGTCGTGTCCGAACGGCACCCAGGAAAGCAGCGTGCAAAGGTCTGGGCCGGGCTCACCATGCTCAAACGGAGTGCGGCCGCATCCCGCAACAACGCATCCTGCAAGCTGCTGGACTGTCAGCTCGAGGCAGCAGCCCACGCGTGCGGCAGATGGTCCCGAAGAACCGGGCYGGCTTCACCCGGCGCTCTGCACAGCCCGCTGCATGGACACACCAGCTCYGGGCCTTCAGGATGCCACACTTGGTAGCGCCAAGGCAAGAACCACACAAAAGGAAGATAAGACCATCTTAGAAAGCATCTTTTTGTGGCTTTAGGGGCATGAGGTCCTAAGCTGCTTTCTGTAACCATCCCATGTTTCTTAAATAAGCAGCTAGCTGGACATGCTGCAGTAAGGAGGAGCAGTTTGGGATGAAGAGCCGCSCTAGCTCGGGCTGGGAGGATGCTGGGAGCACATTCGGGATTTCTCTCTGCGTTGGCGGTCCAAGGCTGTCTCCTTGTGGAGAGTTGGGCAAGGTACGGGCAAGGCACAGCCGGAGAAGTGCCAGGCAAAGGATGCTGAGCAGAAGAGCGCGCGGTGGTACCTGCTACGGGAGAGCTCGCTGCAAACCTCCATGCGGTACAAAGCCCCCTCTAGCTGCAGCCACTGCCGCCCTGTAAAGCTGTTCATTGCAAATAAGTAGAGTGAATTCTGCTGGGAGGCAGCAGGGGAGAGAACAAGAATAGGAAAATATTGGAAACCATCAAAACGAAAAAAAAGTCTCTAAACCCCACTCTGAGTACAGCTGAATCCAGGACACACCACACAACACCACACCAGCAGAGACTAGAGCAGCGAGCTGCAAGAGAAGTCAGGGGACAAGAGCGTGAACCAAAGGGGCTCGGGGTTTGGATTTCACACAACATGCTCGATTTGCAGCTGACCCACAATATATTCCAGTAGTGCTTATTGTGCTAATATTGACATTGCTACGCTTGAGGTGGTCCAGAGACAACGGATGAATCAGGAAGGTACTAAAAAAGATCAATATTGGTTTGAGAGCTTCTCGGCTTCTCCTTTTATCGATAGCAAATAAAACACCTCCAGACAATAAATAAAGCACAGGTTGAAGACAGTGGTTCTTGTGCAGACTTGCCAAAACAAAAACGAAACAGTGTTGGAAGACCTCTAACGAGCTAATTTCATTATCTGTAGTATTTTAAAGCAATAATCCTTGAACATATCAACTAGTTGCTGGGAAATATCTTCTCCATCAGCACCTCTCATGCATGTGGTACAATAAACTGACCACAGACAGCAACAGAAAATATGGTCTCAAGAGGGCCTAAAAAACTGCCCTCAAAGTTCATCTATGCACTACTACGCAGCTATGAAGTGGAGGTAGTCACAAGCTTTAAATATGGGTGTGTTCCTATATAAACGGAGTGGACATGTTCCTAGATCTAAAAGGAACTGCAACCAGACACAAGTGTGAGCCAACACAAACCTCTGGTTCCTCTGCAAGCACGCAGCGTGGCTCCCTATTGGCAGTTTTCTATGTGAATGCTGTATCAACAGTGGATCTTCTCAKCAGAAACTCAAAAGCGGGTACTACAACACTGCTCAAATGTAGCAGATTAGAAAAAAAGCCAAAGCAGCACTTGCAGGATTACATCTGTGACACAGGCGTTAGCCTACTCATGACAATGCAGATACCAAGTTATGTTTATGACCCACATCAAAGCTAACCAGCTTTTTCATTATTGCAACTGAGGTATCGATATCAAACAGAACTGTTCAATGCTCCGACATCAACATTCACCCCTGCCATGCTAAAATGGGAACACAGAAGGTCTGCTGACCGTGCATCCACCAAAAGTTAAAAGAGCAATGAGCTGGTGATGATGGGATGAGCCACGTGAGCGAGGGCTGGAGAACACGTACCATCACACACACAACAGACAGGCAATGCCATTGCGACCTGTGTGAGACTACGGAGAAAGAGACAAAGGAAACTACTGCTCGGCAAAAGAGCACAGCAGGGTAATTCAGTGAAGGGGTGGGGGGACGAAAAGAAAAGAAACAAGAAGGGGAGGTGAATATAAAAGATCGATCTAGGTTCGGTTTCACTTGGAGGTGGGCACAGGATGTCTGGAGAGGAGACAGAACAGCATTGCTGCCTTGGGATCAAAGGTGGGAGCACTAGGCATGACTGCACTGGAAGACGGACATCAGGAATCTACAGGGAACTGGCAGAGGATGTGCCTGTTGGGGAGGCTGGGGCAGCGTCTCCCTTTAATCACTGGCTACGTGGTTCTCGTTTTGGAGGGTGTGCCAGCGTTCGATCTTCTTGTCCTTGTTCTTCAAACATTCGTACCAGTGTTTCAAGCGCTCGCCCTTAGCCGTGATGCCAAGCTGACAGCCGCCTGGAAGAAAGGAGAGAGGCAGGAGATTATAYTCAGAGATGATGCTGATGGCCCACTTAACCATCTCCATGGGGACAGGCCAAGGCTTTCAGCACTTCTCTCGTTGCATTTCCAACTTGAAAATCATGGGAGCAACCAAAGCTGCTCTGCCCTCACAGGAGACCCTCTGGGATGACAGGGAAGGGGCAGTGTGGTCTCCCCTGTGCTGGATCACCCCTTTGATGGCCTGGCACAAACTCACAGCCAACCTACAAAGTCCAACTTCAAAGCTCAACCTGGAGATCTTCCRCACCAAACAGGCGACTTATTTATCCTCTCCATACAAGGGAGGCATGACATCTAAATCACATCCCACAAACCCTGCCACTCACCAATGTAATCATTAGATTTTCCAATGTCGTAATCCCAGACAGATATGTCCAGCGACTTCTTGGCCAGATCGCTGTGTTTTATGTCATAGAAGAACTCCTGGAAAAGAAGAGAACCGATGTCACCCCAAGGATTTTGGCTTTCAAGGAAATAGAAGGAAAATTCTGCCCTTAAGGAACCTCAGCTACTCCTCCTGCACAGCCTGAATTCAAAATCAAATGGGAGGATATATATCAAACACAATAACAAAGAGCAAATGCTGTCTCCTGTAGTACCTTTTCTCCCACAAACRCATAAGTCAATTTACTCCTTATATCTAACTTAGCATTTTGCACATATTCTGTCAAGACAGCATGAAAATCAAAGCCTCCAAATACRGCACTTCCCATTTTTAAGATGCAAGAAGAGCCCACCAAGAGCCTCTCACAGAGCTGACTGCTGAAGCCAGTTTGATCGTTGAGCTTGGCACACCTGAAAGGCATTTGTTTCTAAAACCAAACACTGTGAGTAACCAAGTGGGGTATAAACAATGCTGGGGAGCATGTCTCCATCTTCAGTCACACAATGTAATGATACTTACACTGATTTAATCCTTACCTCATTGAACTCAGGATTCAATGTTTTCTTTTTAATCTGTGTCTTATGCTTGGCCTTTTTTCCCATGTCAGGTTTCAGCCAACTGGGGGCAACAGAAAACAAGTGAAAGAACAGCATGAGTTCATAGGCTAAAAAAAAAGATGTGAGCTTTTGAACTGGAATACAAAAACAAACAAAACAAAGATATTTAAGGAAAAGAAACAAGTTAGCCCGTTGAGCTTTGAACTATACATTTCATTCAAAAGCAGCTACCCTGGCACTACTGATGCCAGCAGGGTGGAATACCCAAAATAGCCAGAAAATGGAAAACTGGCAGGTAGGTTAATGGTCAATACACAACAAGAAGCCGCATTTCTAACACTGAGCCTTGACTGATGGAAATTCAACCAAGAATGTGTGAACACATATGGATATAGAAAGATTTATTTTAACAAAATGCTAAAAGTGCTCCAGCAGCCTTTAACAAAGTGGAGATTAGCATGCTGAACCAAGGTATTTTTCACTTATTAGCTGTGGAAAAAAATCAGTGGCTCTTGCTTTGCTGACTGGCTGCAGACCCAAGACTAACTTTTACAGCTGGCATTAATTGTTGGAAGTTGCTTAAAACATGGAAAACCACCATTTTCTATTTGTGGAAAACTACATAAAAATAGAGAACAAGGACGAAAATCACTCAGTTCCACTAGACAACAACAAAAAAAAAAGCCATGCAAAAACACTATCAATGAGAACTTTTGAGCTGAGCTCATCTTTTAGCAAGGAAAATAAAGTTCTCTTTTGAAAAACAGCCAAGAAAACACATCTGCAACCCGGACAGACTGCGCGGCCCTGTGTGCACTGCAGCTGATAAGCTGCAAGTCAAAGCGTCCTTGATCTGCTGCGTTCTCCTGAGCYGTCTGACAACAAGGGCTTCCGTGCCTGTCACGGAGCCTTTGCAGCTCACGCTGGGCGGGGAATCGCTGCTCCAGGAGACGTGCTCCGTGCTGCAGCGAGGCCCTGCCGTCACGAGGCACCGCAGCCCCGATGTCTGCGCTGGTGACGCTGCTGTTCTCGCAGCGGAGGGTGTCCCCGTGGCTGCACAGTGGACTGCAGGCTGCCCAGGAGGCTGGCCGTGGTGGCATCGCGCTGAGCGGGGCTTGGTGGAGCTGTCTGGGGGGGCTCAGGTTTCCCCTGTCCAAAGCTGGTGCTCGGGGAAGTCARTCCTGGTGCTGTTATAGCGCAGGCACCACAAATCCCCACACACGTTGCCTGCCAGCCTGTGTGGTTATTGTCACAGCAGTGACCACAGAGCAAAAAAACAGGGACATTTTCCACAGCAGCCAGTTACAACCAGCTAAGAGCAGCACACAGGGGCAAAAAGAGCCCGAGGCAGCAGCCTCATCACCCCAAACAGGCTCCACCAGAGGCCACCTCGTTTCTCCGTGCTGAGGACTCGGCTCTTACGCCCTGGCAAACGCTTCCGTCTCCAGCGCGGTTTTGGAAGGAGGTTTGAGCAGCAGAGCTCCAGCTAATGCCCAAGCACCACGTTCTGATGCCAAGGCACCCCCAGCTCTCACTCACAGCTTAACAAAAGGGTCCGAGTAGCCGTTGGCGTCCATGGCTGCCAAGTGCACGCAGCGCACGATGCCTACAATCAAGCCGCCCTGCTGGGTGCTGTACATGAGGGACACAAGGATCTTGCCACGTTCTTCCACGTCCCCGCCGCGATCGACCTGCAGGAGGAAGCCAAAGGAGGTGCCCTATGTGACGGGGCCCAGGAAAACAGCTCCAGAAATAGAGCAGCTGCAGCCAGGGATCTCTGCAGGGGAGGCAAAGGGAAATAGTTGGAGGAAACCTTGCAGGAGACCAGCAGAAGCTCCGTGAAGGTGCAAAGTGGGGCTCATACATGACAGATCATTGACCCAACGTGCAGAAAGCGYGTCACACTCCGAGGACACGGCAGCCTCTTACCTCCTCTTCATACAGCGCCATCCCACGAGAAGAGCCGGTCGTTCCAGCACGCTTCATCTTGAGTTGGGAAGGGAACAAAGAGAGACTTCCATGAATAACTGCAGCTGACAGAGGCACTGCCCTATGGCAAAAACACTCCCGCRTGGATGCTGGGAGCGTTGCAAAGCTCCTCCATTGATCTCAGGAGTGGAAGGAGGCTCAGATCAAGATTGTTTTACTCTGATAATTTCTACTTCAGCAGACTTAGCACATCACTCAGAGCACCGGGGAGCAAAGCGCAGACAGGCAACAAACTGCCCGCTCCTCTCCAGCGACATAAATCAGCGCAGGCGGGCAAATGTCAGAAGATCTTTCAGCCACCACAGAGCTCCCCAAAGGGCTGAGTCACTTGCTGCAACGAGCACTTCACATTAACTATTAATCACTCCCAATTCAAGAAGGTCAGATCCTTTCATTTGCTTTTTCTAATCTAGGAGACTTCTCCAAGAGCAAAGTTCTGCCTTTTTTTTTTTTTTTTTTTTGTTACTGGAACCAAGGGACTGCTGACCTCCTTGTTTCAAATCCATACCATTTTAAGCGAAACCAGATCCCAGGATCCCTGGGATCCCTACCATATGTCTATCCCTTGGCCTTAATATGTCACATCAGCCCAGACCCTGAGACATGGGTGGGAGTCCAACTCTCTAAGATGTCAATGAATGTTAGGCATGAAGATGCCTTGGATTGTACCAGCTTCAAGTTCACCCCTCCCATGCCATTTATTTGCAATTGCAGAATTAACAGTACTAGACAAGAGTTTCTGAAAAACTCACTGGTATTACTCTCTCCAAGCAGATGTTGAAGTTCTTTTTCTGATTGGGTTTCAGTTTTTTCAGGGAAACTCTAGTTTCGCCAATAAACTCGTTGTGGCCAAATTTGTCTTCATCACACACAGAGATCCTGAAGGGAACATGAGAGAGAACATCAAACCAGCAGGAGCAGCACCTGATTTGGGAGCACATTAGCATCCATGTAGAAAACACTCCAACAAGATTGCTGCTCAGGGGGTGGACAAAGCAAAGTAATATCTAGCTCTCCAGGTATCTGGCTCTCCTCTAAACAAAGTCACTCGGAAAACAGGATTTCTAGTTTGCTATGAAAAAACAAACAAGTAGAACAAAAGAACCAGACAAAAGACACAAGCATTTTGATGTTTCCTACAGAAGGGAGATGTTGAAGATTTYTGGGAACATCTTAATATTTCGCTGGGATACTGTCAAATTACATGTAGAGAAATAGATGAATATGGGATACATAAATCTATATATTGATGAGATTAACAGTGATGGCAATAATTTAATATTGAGATGGTCTAAATTGCTTTCATTTTCCTTTTTAAAAGAATAAAATCAACATATTAATGTGGAAGATTTTGACCCCAAATTCTGCGCTTTCAGGTGCTGTGTTAAAAACACACCCGTTGCTGCCAGTGGCCTCTTCCAGCGTTTGCAAGGAGGACTGGTTTGAAACGCTCGGCACCCAAAGCTGACCTTTTCTGCCGTGCAGAGGAGACGCACAGCTCCTGTCCCCCCTCGCCTCGTCACGGGCCACCCCAGCTCCTCCACTTGCCTGAGCGTTTTCCTTTGCATGTCCTCGTCCGTGATGCCGTGATACACCAGGGTCTCGTTCCACACAGGGTTACGGGTATTGCGCAGAGTCTTCGTTCTCAATTTATTTGACTGTTGCAGAAAAATAAAATGCAGTATAATTACACACAGTGCCTGAATTCAGCCTTGGGTCAATTTAGGTGTCTCAGAGAGGATAAGAGAYCAGAAGCTCCATCACTTTTGGCTCACTAGAGAACAGCGTGGGAAAGAAAGGTGATTTGACTAGAGATTATCTTAAAAAGACTGTTCTTCCCAAAGACATTTATTTCGACCAGAGAAACAGGACTTCAGGGTGCCTCTGACACTTGCTCTTGTCTTTTATGAGCATCTTTTGGAGCTGGGGAGATGGGGAGGAAGTAATCTCCATTCAATGGTTTTAATATCYGCTTCCCTCATTTTGCACTTGCTTCCTCTGAGCAAAACCCGGCTATAGGAGAGAGCTTCGCATCCCCAGAGCAGGACAGAATTCCTTAGGCACCGGGCTGGCAGTCTTCGTTCTTCCCTAAAAGATTTCTCCACTGAGTTTAATTTAGTTGGAATGGGGAGYGAGATTTACAGAGCTTCCTTTGATGAGGGAGGTAGAAGAGTTTACTCACTTAATGGTTATTTTTTTACAGCTCTAATTAGAGCGTGCTGCAGCTTCAAAGTAAACCAATCTCTCAAACTCCAGTAATAATTAGATTTTGTGTCAGCTGYTTTGCAATGCATTAACAATGTCACCCTTTCTGCAGTCTAGATTCCTGTCTTTCAAGACACGTTCATTTCCTCAGGACGCCGTGGCACACCAAGAACCACAGAACTGTGAGAAAAGACTCTTATACCACCAGAAAGGGCACGGAATTGAACTTCTGTTCTCTGTATTCGCCTGCCTCCAGTTCAAATTTCTCCCAAACAAAGCTGATATGGTATCTTTACAGACAGAGCTACAGAAAAAGACCTACCTTTTCAATAAGGCGAGTCATGAAGCACATATTTATCCCCTACATGATGCTAAATGCTTGTAGGAGGCAAACTGGTCCATCTGTGCCTGACTCCCAGAGAAAAGCAGAATATTTTGCTTCACTGATGAACTACTGTAGCTTGGGCACTTTACCTCTCTAATGTATGTCAAAGCATCTGCAAGAATTATCTGCTTGCAGATAAACCAGGTGAACTGAGATTCCCAGAGCTCTGCCATGACCTACTCCCAAATCTCCATACGTTTCTGGGCATCTTGGAGGAATTCTAGAAACCTCTGACCTGTTTTAAGACCCGCTGTCAAATGCACCCACGTCACACAAAGAATTACCTTACTGGCTCCAGGCAAGAGGTGTAGTTTTACGTAGGGATCAGCCAGGCCATTTGAATCCATTGGTTTCAAGCCCTAAAAGATAATAAAAGAAAACACGGGATTTGAATAAGCTTTAAGCAGAGCCCGGGGAAGGGGAAAAACTACCAGTTAGTTACTATAAAGCAAGTTGAGTCCTTCTGGCACCCAAATTTAGGAAAAACAGAGACCATTCCTCACTGTAGGCAATATTGGACTAACAGAGAGCAGAGCAGCCGGTGCAAGCAGCCCCTCTGYTCTCCATGCCCTTGTACTTAGCAAGCTAGGAGCCAGACCAGATTTAGGAGTGTAAAGAAAGAGACTACCTAGCTGACAGTCACGTGTGTGTGCAGGGTGACAAGGCACCTCTCTGCACAGTGGGCAGAAGAGCATCTTGTCCCCAAAGCGGGCACTTACTTTGGCTTTGATGAGCGTGCAGAGCAGAGAGCTGTTTTCCTGCTCATACAGCAGGCTGAACTCCAGGGCTCCCAACGTAGCTGGCGACGGAGAGAAGATGGAAAGACAGGATATGACTTTATTAAAACCTCAGCCAATATCTGTGTTTAATCAGCCCCGATTAGCAATAATTAGGAAGATTTGCCGTTCAATTTTAAAAGCCACTTAAAGCACGCGAGGCTACTGGCATCAGCTAAACTGCTGCTCAGAAATCCAGCCAAATTCATAAGCTCGAGCCATCAAGGCATGACAAGGGCAGACTTGGCCAGGATACAGGAAGGGCAGCTTGTGTCTGCTCTGCTGACTTTAATATTCAGCGGGAAAAGAGAGATGCACCAGGACAAACAAAACCTTCCATGGCCGTGGCGCAGGGAGGTCTCAGCACCACGGTGCAAACGTGTATGGGCTCGGAGGGACAAYGTTTCCAAGGGGTGGCAATCGGACCAAGGTTGCACCGAAGAATTTGGTGCAAAAAGCGACTGCAGGGAGGGGAGCGAGTGCAGGGCTGGCTGTGAGACCCGGCCCAGGCGCCGATTCCCTCTGGCGCCTTCGTGCTCCTTCCTCGGGGGCTGCGTTTTGGGGAGGGCTCCCTGATTCCAAGTGGAAAACAACAACCAAACAGCCCCGTCCTCTCCTGGCTACCCCTTTACCAGGCATTAAAAGGACCTGGAAGGAGATGGAGACGCAGGACTGGGAACGGGCAGCGTTTTGGGTGTAAAAAAGGCAAGGGGGAGGCTGCCTGCTGGAAACCCACGGCGCTCGGCRCCCCGTCCCCCAAAGCGGGTTTCGTGGCGTGGAAGCGCGCGGGGACACGCACTGCCTTCGTCCGAGTCGTAGCTGTTGGCGTCCTCCTCCTCGTCGGCCTCGGCGGGCGGCTGCCGCGGCGGGGCGGCGGGCGCCGGGGGCTGCCGTGGCGGCGGCGGCCTCTCCTCGCGGGCGGCCATGTAGCCTCCTCCTCCTCCTCGCTCGTCCCTGATGGCGGCGGCGCGGGCCGGCTCCGGCGGGCTCGCTGCGGAACAGCCACCATCAGAGCCCCCGTGCCCACACGGCCTCCACGGAAGCRCGCGGCCATCGCAGGCCTTGGGCGTCTCGCCATCGCGGGCGCCACGGCCGGCCCTACCTGCGGGCGCCACCATGGCGGGAGCGGGAGCAGGGGTGGCCAACGGCGGCGGCCGCGGCGCTTGGACGGAGTCGGCCCGCCGCAGGCCTGCGGGGAGAAGGGAGGCCGAGGGCCGCCATTACCCCACAGCGCCAAGCGGACACCCCCCCCACCTGCCACCATTACATCTATTTCTGCAATTAAAAATATCCCTCTTCTACTCAGGGAATCCAAGGGGACTCGGATGTCTTCTGGGTGTTGATCAAATAAATTTGCAGGCTCAGATGGTCAGAGAAGCGGCCTCATGAGAGCGCGGAGGCGCCGGGGAGGCCGCGGGCTTGCCAGGCACTGCCACTCACCCACCCGCATTGCTGCCATTCACAGTAGCTCGGAGGACATTAAATTGTCACAAAATTGGAAATGACACCGAGGCTGGGCCTCCGAAGTAACGCGGGGCCGGCCGTGGCAGAGCAGGAGGAGCAGGAAGCATTAACGGCGTTAAAAACGCCCCGGTGCCCAGTCCCAACGGGGCTCTGCTTCTTTTGGGTTTGCAATTAGCCCCTCTTCCTGGGTCACTGCATGGGGGCTTTTCCATTTGGTGCTGTTTTAGGGGCTGTAACGGTCCCCTTGCAGAGGGGAGYGCCATGGGGTCCTGTCCTCTGCCCTGAAGGCAGGATATTTGCCTTCAGATATCAGCGTATTTTGATCCACTGCAGAGAATGGAGCTCGCTGTCTCCATCCCATGACGTGGGCTTRGACATGTCCTGTTCCAGGATCTTTTCAAATCTATCACATAGAAGGCTGCAAGACGCCCCGCGTTGGAGGAACGGGCTGGGATGTCTCTTGGTGCTGGATGGGTTTTGGGGCACATCCCCAAGCCCCACGCTCTGCCCCAGCGTCACCCACCTCCCACCCCCATCAGCAGGGCTGCCATTTGGGGTGCACCCATTCCCAGCGCTCGGAGGAGAGAGTGAAATGGGACAAGAAGCCCCTGGCCCCGAGTGCAAGCTTGGAGCTGCCGTCTCCCCCTGCCCCCAACCCTGGAGACCGGGACCTCCCTCCACCACATCCCCGGAGCATCCCGATGCCGGCRGGACGGAGGCCGAACCGCGGGGAGCGGCGCTCACCGGGGCTCCTGGTGCTCTCGGCGGGCTGGTCGCGGCCGTCGGCGTCACGGCGCTCGCTGCCGCACGGTGCCGCGCGCCCCTCC